TCTACTAATATAGCTTATAGTCTATTTACTATAATTCTTTCTAGCGCGCTTTATAAATATTCTATCTACTCTTTTAAGTACTACTATATTAGGTATATTATTACTCTACTCTAAGCCTATTAAAATCTAAAGTAGTAGAAAGATAGCTATAATATAATATATATTTAGTAATAGAATAGACTTATTTAATAGATAAGATATTAGAAAGCTAAAGAAATATACTAGTAGTAAAGAAATATAAGTAGAATACTATAACCTTTTTAATACTATTATTATACTAGTGTATAAGATATTCTTATATAAATTAGATCTTTAATAACCTAAGAATTATCTAGAAAGTAAACGTCTTTTAATAAAAGCTTTTTAGAATTATCTTATAATTTACTATCTTACTTTTTACTAATACTTTTTAGTATTAAACTTTTATATAATACTTTAGATAATAGAATCTCTCTATAATAGAACTCTTTTCTACTAAACTAACGTTTATATACTTTCTTACCTATACTAACTACTTTACGTTCTTATAGTAATATATCTTTATACTCTCTAATATCTATATATTATAAAACTATATCTATCTTAGCGTATTCTACACTTATAGTTATAATACTTTAATTCTAGTAGCTATATCTTAGAAGCTATATAATATATTCTCTATAAGATAGTATACTCTTATAGTACTTATACTTAATATAGTACCTAAACATTTATTAGTGTAGACTAGAAAGTTAAAGTCTAATAAATTAAATAGCTTTAGCATATTCTAAGTGTAAAGAATACTTAACTACTTTAAGAATTATAGCTATATACGTAGATAATCTTAGTATCTAGAAAATTAGAATATTAGAGAGCTAGAAGCTAAGTAATAGTATACGTAGTTAGTATATATAAGATAGTAATTATAAAGCTATTTATATTACTACTAATAATATATAATAAAGCTAAGTATATATAACTTAAAAAAGATTATAATATTTATATAACTATACTCTTAATATAGCTATAATTTACTACGTTAGATATTCTAGAGTTTTAAGATCTATATCTAAGCTTATAGTATAGTAGTAGATTAAGAATAAAGTATAGCGTAGCTACGTAGTAGAAAACCTTATATAGATATTTACTCTATCTTACTATATATACCTATAAACGTAAGTAATATTAGTAAAGAGTAAAACTATTAAGATAGTAACTTTATTATAATAATAACTCTATAGACTTTATAGCTTTTTAACTTTTAAATAATAACTATAACTTTATATAAGTAATATATCTAACTTTCTCTATACGCTCTTTATTCTTAATAAAAGTATTACTAATAAAGTTAGCACTACTATATCTATTAACTATATATATAATAGTAATAATTATAGTATTTTAACTCTACTCTTAAGCGCGCCTACTATAGCGCTAGTAGTAAGAACTAGAACTTCTAGGTAGTAACTAGTTCTTATAATAACCTACTTATATACTAGAAAGTTTATAAGCTTTCTTCTACTAGTAGTACTAAGCTACTTATTATATTCTTCTTTATCTTACTCTAGCTTAGTAAAGTGCCTAAAGATTACGTAAAGTAGTTATAAGTAATACTATACGCTAAAGATATAGATAAGAAGAAGTTTAGAATTAATACGCTTATAAATAACTAGTACTTTATTTTTCTTAATAAATTCTTAAAGAAAGAAAATCTAGTCTTTATTACGCGTATTATTAAGAAAGATAGAAAAGAGATAAAAGTTAAGTATTTTCTATAGTTAATAGATAAAGTATAGAATTAGATATAGATAAATTAGTAGTTTAATAAGAAAGTAATTATATACTAGTACTAGTAGTTTAGTAATAAGAAGCTAGATTAAAGTTAGTATAAAGCGCCTAAAAACTAAAGATATATAGTAGTAAACTCTTACGTAGATAAAAGTAGCTATTATTATATACTTAAAACTTAATAGTAATAATAGATAATTTTCTCTTTTTTCTTTTATTTATAAGTTATTTTTTATATCTATTCTTAATTCTATTATTCTATAAGAAAGCTTAAGTTATCTATTATATAAGCTTCTACTAACTATAGTTACGCTAGCTAGTAACTATAGTATAGCTACTATACTAGTTAGTGTAATAATTATAAAAGCAACGCTTATACTACTTAATATCTATACTATCTTAATTAGTTTCTTAGATATTAGCACTATTCTACTAACTTCTAACTAGTTTAAGAACTTTATTATAGAAGTAATAAAAACTAATTTATATCTAAAAGAGGTTAGAGTAATACTAAGAAGGTACTCTAGTAGTATATATATTAGAGCTATACTCTATAAATACGCTAAGCTAGTAAAAAGATTAATACTAGGTAAACTATTAGACTTTATATATTTCTAACTTACGCTAGAGTAATACTTATTCTTATTAACTATACTACTCTATAGATTATTAAGTAGATACTTAATAGTAGATATACTATTTAATCTAAAGTTGCGTCTTAACTTAAATAAAGCTTCTAATAGAAAATCTAATAGATTAGAGGCTAGCTAGTAGTTATCTATCTTTATATTACTTAAGATAGTTTTATAGTCTACTATAAAGTAAAGCTTCTTAAGCTTTATAATAAAAGATACTACTTAGATATTATTAGCTATACTAGATAGAATTACCTAGATAATACTAGTTAAGAAAAAGTTACCTTAATTAGTAGTTAAGAGAAAGTATATTCTAAGCTAATTATTTTATAGTTTATAATTAAGAGCTTTACGTAGCTTAATAGCTATTTAGAAGTATTATATTAAAGAGTTTTTATTACTTATTATAAGCGTAAGTAGTATAATCTTCTTAAGTATATAAGTAAAGAGACTAGTTATTACACTACTATTAGCTAGCTCTAGAAAGCTAAATAGTAATAGCACTTCTAGAAAACCTCTAATAAGACTAGATAAGAGATTAATAAAGGCTAATCTTATAGTAGTAAGTTTCTTAATCTAATTCTAGTAAAGTTTTAGTCTATTATAGTTTCTAGTGTAGTAAAAGTATTAGCTAATTTCTACTAAGAATAGATTTTAGTAGTCTACTAACCTAGTGTAGTTTATAATATTTACTTCTTTATACTAAGATTAGGCTCTAAGATTTATAGAGATCTAGGTAAAGCTAGTGTATAAACCTTTATTAAGCTAGAAGCTTAGCGCGTATATAATAGTGCCTAGAAAGTAGTTAAATTAAGTAGATAAAGCTATAATAATATATATAGTATAATAGAAGTTTTCTATCTAGACTAGCTAATTCTATTTAGCACTATCTAGGTAGACTAAGTATTCTAGAGGTGTAATCTAATACTTAGCTAAAGTCTTCTTACTTATTAGAGAATTTTAATATATAGTAGTACTATTTCTAGTAGTAATAGTTATATCTTTATAATATATAATCTAGTTCTATATACCTCTAAAGCTTTATATATCTTAGTATTAAGAAAGTATACTAAAGTTTCTTAAAAGTGTAGATAGAGGTAAAGATATAAACGTAATCTTAGTTCTATTTATACTTATCTAATATCTAGTCTTCTTAATTAATATACGTATATAATACTATATATTCTTTTTAATAGTTATATTAATAGTAAAGTACTAGGCTTCTAGTATAGATAGTGTACTCTAGTTTACTAGACTCTATCTAGTAGTAAACACTAGTGTATTTAGAGGTAAAAGAGTTTAGTTAGTATTTATAAGCGTGTTCTACTTAGAGTATTTAGATATAAGTATAAAGTAAGGCTCTAGTAGTAGTATTACACTTACTACTTTCTAGTCTACGCTACTATAAGTAATCTTTACGTTAAATTCTAGTGTGTAATTAACTACGTTAACTTCTAGAGAAGATTGCGCACTAGTTTAGCTCTAGATATATACTTTTTTATTTGTAATCTTCTACGTAGATAGCGCATTTCTAGTATCTATATATACTACTTAAGCAACGCGACCTCTAAGGTCTAAAACGCAATTTAAAGTCTTATTAGATATCTATAAGCAGCTTAGTAGTATTTTAGTGTCTAAGTTTAAGCTTATTACGCGAAATTCTAGATAATTAATTATAATAGAGCTATTTGTAATTAACTGTGCAGTCTGCTATTACTAGCCTTCTTAGACGAAGAAGCTTTTAATATATCCTATTTCTGTAACGTTAAAAGTTTCTACTCGGAAAGAGTTAGATAGTCTATTCGAGAATGTCTAAGGCCCGTCCGAGAAGGGCTCTTCCACGCTACGGTATTCTTCGCTGTACTTTACTTCGATCTGCACTGTTCCAGAAATTGCTGAAACGTGGAAGAACGGGAAGCCGGCTACCTCAGTGCCGTAGTCGAGTGTAACGAGTAGGCTATCTGGCGATAGGATCAGGGTTTCGTTCGTCCACGGCTTCAAGCCCGATGATAAGAGTGCAGATTGCTGTAGGTGTGATTGAGGTGCAATTGAGCCATATTCGACGAAGCTATTATGTAAGTGGACGGTCTTCTGTATGTATCACTAGAGCCTTACGCAGTCGTCAATGGGTTGACAAGAATTGTGATAATCGCAAAACGCTGAAGAAGATCCATCGCTGCTTCCGTGCGAGGTGATCTTGACAGGGCTTTCGTTGGCAATGCGGCCGGACCATGATTATAACCAGCGGTCGTCCCTACAACAACAACTGATGGTCGGAAGGTGGTGGAGAAGGAATAGCCGATGGAATGGTGCCTCTCGGTGCAAATGTAACCGACGCGATGTAGCTTCGGCAGATATCCGCTCACCATTGGCCAGTTCAGTCGGAGCGTTCTTGAAACTAAGGGTTCTCTGGGCAGCCGGGTACCCCGCACGGGGACTTCCCCACAAACCATCGTATCTCGTATCTCGTTTTGTGCAGTTATCGTACGGGGAACCTTTTCTAGTTTCCGTCATAGGGTACAGCCTGGATGATGCTCGGTCGGGCTCGGTCGGGTTCGGAGCAATGCTTGTGGCCGCATTGACGTTGCTTTTATCGTGCTACGATTCTGCGCTCTTCTCGAATCGTGTGAAATCTTCTCTTAACATATTTTGCAGAATTGTACCCGCCCTCGCAGACTGCGCGATAGCATCTTCAACGGCTTGTACATCGCTCATACTGATCTGCAACGTCCCGGACAAGAGCTCTTTGGTGATGTCATCTCCTGTTGTGACTGTCATCTTCTTCGTACCCGTGATACCCAAGTCGACCTTTGTGGTAGTCGCCCACGGTGTGCTGTACCACAACCACATCTTCCCGCCGCATGGTATCCAGTACCGCCAGCTAATGTTGTAACCCTCGTTCGCTGCGCCTTTGGGTCGGAAGTTGGAAGGCAACGTCGTCTCGGGGTCCGGGACTTGTTCGTCGGCGATGCGACCGGAGAGCACGCGACACGACGGTATCAGTTGTATCGCGCCAGAGACACGGACAGCCAAAATACATGAATCGTAAAGATCCATTCCGGCCAGAGGCGAGCCCATGAGCCATGCGACACTTGAGAGTAAAGTGTCACCAATGACGCCGACCACAGTGACGCCCAGCTCCGATCCTGAATCTGCACGCGTTGGAAGCTCGAAGTAGTCTGTGTACTCCAAATTGGCGTCGCTCAAGAGCCTCCCAATAATCACGGGATCTTGTGCGTCGTTTGCATAGCTAAGCACGCCGCGGGGGTGGTTCAGAATTTGGTGCTTCGACACTCCAACCGCCAGTCCGAGTAGCCGCAAACTTAACTCGGGTGGCCGGTTCTCGTCCGTTATGTTCGGTGTAATGATGTGTTTCATGTCGTCTACCTGCTGTGCGAAGTGAAAGAAGATCGATCGAAGCGCAAGCCAGATGACCTGGAAACCAAGCCAGATCCGGAAACAAACGGCCGGCTCATTCGAAAGAACGGCGTATGTGCCGAGAAGGGAAGTAATGCAAACGGCGGCGCCTATAATCCAGAATATCTGCCACGCGCGACCTCTGCGAAGGTTGACAGGTACCCCGAGGAGAATCCTGCGCTCTCCCCCAATCACTTGCGGTGTAGGCAGCGACCCAGAGACGACATCAAAATGTCTTGACTGCTCGCCAGGTGTTGTAGCTCTTCCGACGTGAAACAACTGCAACGCGATCGCCGAGAAGAAGGTGTACGCCCAGATGACTCCAGTAACCAGGAAGACGCGTCGAGAGCCGAAGTGGTAGAGCAGATACATCTCTACGACCTTCAGCAAGGTTGCAAACGTAATAATCCAGTCGTTTCTGGTCTGTGAGCGTTGTACAATCTCCCAGTAATGATCTCGCATGTAGACGTGAGCTTGTAGATGCTCCCCAGGTTGCATTACTGCACAAGATCGCAACGGGCCGGCCGTCCATTCATCGAAAGCGTAAACATCTTCGAAATCTTCGCTCCCAGCGGTTATCAAAGTAGAACCTTCGCTGGTCTGAAGTCGATTAGACATGTCCTCGTATGTGCTTCTTAATTTTGACTTACCTTGGTCCATTTCACCGTCACTCCAACAGCACTGCCAGTGACTACGCGACTGTTTGCCTTCCTACTCAGACTCATGCAACACCCAATAGCCTTATCAGAGCCACTGGTTCTCACACCAACGGTATCTCGAAGCCATCCTGGTGTGCAGGCGGATATGCATGCTTTGACGATGAAGATCGACCCAAAGGAGCTCAAAGCCGCCCATGGCAAACCGCAAGCGCCGCGATTCCCTAGAGCAATCAATTCAGCAGTCGAGCCCCCGATCACAGCAGTCAGAGCCGCGATCTCGACCAGACCGCCGCTGAAGTTCACCTCCTCTCCTTCGTCTAGGCTGCTAGCGCATACATGGAACATGATGGCGACAGTGGGTGGTTGTCTTGCGCTGCGGAATGGAAATGAGGCGATGCGACGCTTTTATGATCCAGCTGGCACCGGTTCCGGTGTATGATGCAGCCTGGCGTGATGCCCGTTCAGCTTCGGAGGGGTAGTTGTGGCTGGTCTGTACAGGCTCTCATTCGTCTGCGTCAGCATACACAACTCTTGGCTGCATTTGCAGTCGCAAGTATACTGGTTCGCTGTGAACAGGCTTGCCGCCTATGGAGTCGTCGGCAGCTCTTGCAGACATCCTAAGCTGCACCTATTCTCTTTGCGATAGCGACAGGCGCGGTAAGGGGAACTTATGTAAATTACACAGTCTAGGCAGCTTGTGCGCGTCAAGCCATTTCCGGTCTATTCGACGCGTCAAGCCTCGTGGCACAGCAGCGGCGGCATCAGGCAAGATGGACTCATCGCAGCTGTCATCGCGACGATTAGCGAAGACTTGTTGCAGCACTGATTGGAGTGCGGTCTGGTCGCGATGGTGGTATGCGTTGTCACGCAGGGCATTGTTCAAGTGGTGAGGCAAGGTTGAGACGGGTCCATTGTTGGTGGTGAGGCAAAGTGTTGGGATGTTGGCACGTGCCTTCCCAAGCGCCCGAATCGCCGCATGCAACTTCACGCGAGCGCAGCAGGCTTACAATCATCATCTAACCCGCATGAATCGCATCATTAGTTTCGCCTCGCATTCTCGCAACCGCACTTCAATCGATATATTTGGGTCTTTGGGGGACCACCTCCAAGAATACAACGGTCACTGCAGGGTGCTGTAATTTCCTAATCTGCATTTTATTACTAATACGACATGCAAAGTCTGCCACCTAACTTTCCAGGTTGTGTACTATTAAATATACAAGATTGCCGCCAACAGAATGCAGGAAACCAACAGACCGAACTGCCCTGCGTAGGACTGTACCGCTGATCCTACAAAGACCTGACGACGCTGCTGAGCCTGGTGTTGAGTCGGCACACTCTGAGGATTGCGGAAGACATTATCAGGGTCGACAGCCGCCTTAATCTGCTGCAAGCGAGGCACATTGCCGCCCCAGTAGGCCTGCTGAGGGTCCGCAAGCTCAGGATCGACGTAGCCTGGGTACGCGCCATCATCGCACGTCTCCTTCTGCACTAAGCTGCTAAGGCCAGACAAGAACGTCTTGGACGCGTCGGCGACGGGGCCCCCAAGATTGACGACATAGCTCTGCATGAAGTAGGCGGCGTCGCGGTGCCAGTATGCGGTAGCGGTCTGCGGGACATCGGCGATGGCGCCGCCTTCGAGATCCCAAATGACGAGCCAGACTGGCGCTCCCTTCTCGGTGCCATTGATGTAGGAGAACATGGATTTGATGGCTCCGTCCGAAAGCAGTTTGTGACTGGGCGTCTTGACACTCTTGGCGTAGAAGGGGATGGGGAAGCTGCCGCTGGCTGTCAGGTCTGGGTCGCCGAGTCCGGGGAACGGAAGTTCGCCAACGGTGATGTCCACAACGACGGTTGAGGTATTAGCAGGAAGGATGGACTGCGCGTTCAGCTTATCGAAGTCGGACTTTGGGCCGTAGAAGTTGCCGTTGATGACCATCGAGCCCTGGCTGAGAGTCATGGTGCTGGAGAATCGGCGGTCGAGATTCTTCTGCGTGCCGAACTTCTGCCATCTTTGGAAGGTGCTTGCGAAGGCATTTGCGTCGTCGGCCGCGATGGTGTAAGCATACTTGGTGATATTCTCGGGGGCGGGCGCAGTCTTCATGGTGAACTCTGTGACGATGGCGAAAGAGAAACCGGCACCTCGGATGGCGAAGAACAAGTCGGGGTTCGTGCTTGCACTAGCTGTCACGGCGGTGCCGTTTGCGAGCACACATTGCGCTGACACGATTTGATCAGCTCCGACGCCCAGCTGGCGACTGAGCGTTCCGAGACCTCCAATGGTCAAGTGGCCACCCGTGCCGATGACGGCTACTTCGCCGTATGCCATGACCCGCTTGAGAGGTAGAAGCTTCTCGGAGATGTTGCCGAGGAGGTTTCCCTGTGAAAGGTGTGCACGTCAGCGCATGTACAACAAAGGGCATTCATCACAGGTGTAGTGTCAGGAAGTCACTTACCGGACCAAAAGTTACCGTGTGGTCACCCTCGTTATACGAGAAAGATGCCATGTTCTTCATGTCAACCACCAATGAGCCATTGAACCCTCCCAGTGCTATATACGACGTTCGTGTTAGCAAGTTCTTAATCGCAAGTCGTCCTTCTGGGTTCAGGCTTACCATAGTTGGCATAGCTATGGCCGCCGCTGCGCGCCTGGACCGCAACTCCTGCGGCGTTCGCACACTTCACGACCTCCGACACTTGCTCTTGCGTCTTTGGGAATGAAACCGCGGCCGGAACAATGTTGTAGTTGAGATTGTATGGGTGTACATCTCCCTGCAAGAACATCGGATCATTCGGTAGCATCCAAGTGCTGGTATCGTTGCTAAGGGCCGTTTGGAGACATCGCACGAAGGGGGCATTCTGGGCTGTAGCAGCAGTCGCGGCCGTCAATACGGTCGCTGCCAAGAGGTTCTTCATCGTCGAAACCGATGGTGAGGCTGAGGTATGGTAAGGACTGTTGGTGGGCGAGTATGGCGAAGTAGAGAGATGATAAAGTCCTGAAGCGAGCGGATGAAGAAGAACTCAAGGAAACGAGCGCTTGGAAAGGCGATTCCATCATCTTATGTCGAAAGACCTAGTTTGCTTGGTTTGTCGCCCGAGGCTCAAGCCTTATTCCAGGATGTCCAGGTAATCTTACATACCGCCGTCTCCGACGTCAGCCCTCTGTCGTTCAACAACGATGCCTCCAGTAACCTTCGCACAGCGCGAAGAATAGACTACGTCTTTAATGCAAACTGGGCGTTGATTCTGGTTCACGCTGGTTCCTCAAGCTGCCATATCGCAGGCGCAGATTCTCGAGCATCTCGAGGCTGCACCTGGGCAGCGTCTCCGCACGTCATCGCCCTTGTGCGCGCCACCACGATGATGCGCAACCAAGAAACTCACTTTCCGAAAGAACGACCGGTAAGCACAAAGCTGACAGAACGAGGCTCAAGGCGGGCAAAGTAGTGGTTTTACTTCGGTGTTTGGGTTCGAGGCGCACTCTATTTATCAGGGGAACGTGTCCTCGACCAATCACGGAGGATCGCTGGAAAGATCCCCCGCGTTCCACATCCACGCATTGATTGAACGCTGGCTCTTCCCTACCGGCACCATCCGGGGCATTGAATTGCTTACTACGCTAGGTATGCCACGACTGTTTGGCAATATAGCAAGCACGCAAGTTCCTTCTCACCCCGACACTGGCGTCGTGTTCGGACGCTCAGTACTGCTTGGGAGCGTCAGCGCAATGCGCGTCGCCTTCCAAGGTTTGTAGAGATGACGGGCGCGCTCCTCAGCGGAGGTCCATCTGCCCACACAAGATACCAAGACTAGCAGCTGTGGACATGAACGCCGTCGGCCTCGTGCCAGAACCCTAGCCTTAGGCACGCAGCTCTCGCGCCGTATGTCTGACCGTGATGCGCACCCGGCCAGTCTGCATCTAGTGAATGGAGATGGACAACCGCGACCTCGGGAGGCCACTTAAAGCCAACAACACGCCGCCGCCCATTGTCGCAAAGAAACACAAACGTCAGCTGCAACGAGCGCAGTCAAAAGGTCGCCGAACTCAGAATGTCTCGCCACATAATAAAGAACGACAGGCCAGCACGCGCACTCCAGTCGCGTCCTTCTAGAGGATCTTATGACGGGCTCTCCCGTGAGCGTCCTCTGTTGCCAACAACAAAGCACACGATGCGCTGCTGGTGCAAGTCCACGGCCCGACACGAACGTTGAGGATCGGGCGAAATGGAGCCGACATAGCACTCGGTGGTCGACAGAACGGCTTCCGGTGGATGCCGTTGATGTAAGCATGCCAACATCGGACATCCTCGTCGGCTATTCACAGAAACGCAGTCAGGGAACAATATACCGCTTTCTTCAAGATCTCTTTTTGTTATGCTCACAAACTTCGCTTACGGTATCACGGGTGGAAGATAACAAGAGCCAGTATCGAAATAACCAGATGCGGTGAGTTCCGTTTCGTTCTGGGAAAGCAATGATCACATTGGAACCCTAATCGGATTCACAGCTATGAAATGTATCAACTCGCTTTTCTGGCGTGACTTCTCGCCTCCTACTTCGCCCCATTCCCCTCATCCTTCTTCTCCGGCGTAGGCGCAAACTTCGAGCGTTCCCGAATCGGGCCACCATACTTATAAAACACAAACGGAATAGGCGCAAGCACACAAGCCATCCCAGCAATAAGCGAGCCACCGCCCCCAACACCAAGAGCGTCAAACATGTACTGCGTGAACAGCGGCGCAGCAGCACCTGCAGCGGAGCGCACAACGGTATTCGCTGCCAACGCGCTCGCAGCGTACATGAGATATGTGTCGGTGAGGTAGTTGAGATAAGCGACGAAGATCAACAAGATAGAAGTCGAGAGGAAGACACCGCCGAGAGTAGGGACGACCCAGTGAACGCTATTGTACTCTGCGGACCACGCGAACCAGAACATTGTGATGGGGAACATGACGCCGCCGAGCATCGCTACAGGAAGACGGTCTTCGGGTGTGGCTTTGTAGCCCGCTTCTGCTCTTTTTCTGTCCCTGGCTGTGTTCGCGAAGATGATGGCGCCGCCGATGGCGGCACCGAGGGCGGAGCCGATGAGTGGGAGTTCGCCGACGCCGGAGTTCCAGCCGCGGTGTTGTTGGAAGACGATGGGGTAGATGGTGAAGAGCATGTAGAGTAGGGCGTATACGACCGCGAGGTAAATGGCGACGGCGAAGGAGATGGGGTCGATGAGGATCTTCCACGGTCGGGTGAGGGCAACATGGAACATGCCTGCGAGTGTCCTATCTGTCACTTCAACTGGTGCCTTGACCTGTTCATAGCCAGGGATCTTCATGGCGCGTATGCGCTTGGCTTTGTTGCGGAGCACGATTGAGGGCAATGTCTCCGGAATCGTGAACATGAGTATCTCGGTAAAGGCACCCAGCCAGAGAAGAACGTAGAAGCACCATCGCCAGTCTTTCTTCAGTTGGAGAAAGCCTGATATGACGGGTCCGAGCGAGGGGCCGATGAAAGTCATCATGGAGAAGGCAGCCATTGCATTTCCACGCTCGAGAGGTCCCCAGATGTCTGCAAGTACACCTGGTGCATTGGAGAGAGGGGCACTTGCGAAGGTACCCGTCAAGAAACGACCCACCAGGAGCCCACCGAAGTTCGGCGTGAAGGCGCAGAGGAAGTTGAAGGCCAGGTAGAGCGTAAAGGTAACGTAGAAGATGTATCTGCGACCGAAGAATTCCGAAAGCGGGGCGAATACCAAGGGGCCAGCGCAGTACCCCAGAAGGAACAAAGTAATAACTAGGCCCCCAGCCTCGGTGGAGACGTGCAGGTCTGTCGATAGAGACTCAAGCGTGCCGGAGGGGCTGGACGACGCGAACGTAGCGTTCACAACTAGGGTGACCGACACCACGGTGATGTACCATCTTCTTGCGGTGGACCAGTTCTTAGGGTTCTCGATATCATTGGGGCCGAACTCAAGCAACCCTTCATCGTTAAGGTGTATTTCTTCGGAGGCTTCTATGTCGCCGGTCTTGTATGGCTTCGCTGTCGGCCGCGACAAGAATCGCTCGAGCTTTTCCATGATTGACGATGAGGATGGGGTGTGGGGAGAAGGCACAGGTGGAAACAAGCCTTTCCCCACGGCTTGGTGCGTTATACATAGGACTACTCAAGCCACACTGCTGCGCGGATGATGAAATTGGTTCGGCCGAGGCCATGGTTGGTAAGGGTTCGGAGCTCGTCATTCCGCGGAGGGCGCCAACCGAGCGTCCGCATAAATCCACAGCGTCATCGAATCATAGAGGTCGGTCCAACGTCAGCTCTGACTTCGAAACTGTATATTTCTGAATTGTAACCGATGAGTTGAACTGCGATGACTCCATTCACACAGACAAGCCGATGCTGATGGGTCAGAGTGGTCGGACGGTCGCGTCGTGAGTGGAAATGTGAAGGGTTTTGGCGCTGTTAAGCGGTTTTCGGAGATAATGAACGATGACATCAACAGGTTGCCGCGCCCCAATTTTCGGCGATGCTTTTTCTTGGTCTCTACACAGCAGACACTCGAGGTCATCCGTCTTGCGCGCAAAACATTGACGATGATGTTCTATAAATGCCCTTGTGGCAATGAAAACTTAGTGGTGGTAGAATCACGCCTCTAGGAAACAGCTGGTCGCACAGGAAGATCCGACAGCATGCCACACGGATGTCAGCTTAGGCATCCAAGCTAAGGGAGAGAAAAGGACGGGTTGCGCGGAAGGGTGGAGTTGAACGGTGGAGCGGAAGCGCGGCCGGCTTATGGCTTTGGGGGTGGATGCAGGTGGATGGTCTACCTAAAGCTGTCGTACTTCAGGCGCGCTGCGAGCCTTGAGTAGGGTCTGCATCATCGCTGTAATACCCATCATCGTCGGCGCTCGCTCTCCCAGTCAACTCATACTCTCCAACATCAGCCAATTTCGCCGCAGGGCCGTCATCAACGTCCTTGAACATGCGATAGAACACGACGCCCGCGACTCCGGCAATCAACGCCAATCCAAAGTACAACCACTGCAAGTGCGGGTCTCTTGCCAATGGAGCAATCAAGATACCTAGAGCGCTTCCACCCGCGCTGGTGAGCAAGAAGAGACTCATGATGAAGCTCTTCATATTCTCCGGTGCCTTCGCATATGCCAGTTCCAAGCCGGTAACACTAGCGAGAATCTCGCTCAGTGCGATCAGCACGTATGCTGGGGCTTGCCATGCGACGTGGACTTCGTTTGGTTTGAACTTCCCCTCGCTGATCTTTCCTGCGTCGCAGTTCGATGGACTGTAGTAGCAAGGTGGTGCCGCGTAGATCTTTGACTGGAGAGCGCCTGCGTAGAGCATGGCGAGCGCGGCCATGAGGAAGCCGAGAGAGATGCGCGTTATTGGCATCAATGCGATGTGTAGTCGCGTACGAATGAATGGATAGACGAGGCGGTCCATGATCGGAATTAGGATGATGATGGTGACGGGATCGATGTTGGGAAGAATGTCGTTCGGAAGGCCATGCAACTCCATTTGACCGGCTTGCGAGACGAAGTTGTTCAGCATCTGCGAGTACGAGAGCCAGTAGATTGGGAAGAACAAGAAGACTTTGCATGCGATCAGCGCGGTCTTCAACTCGTCGATAAACTTGTCGTCCCAAGTCACCTTTGACCTGCTTCTTCCGTGCCCTTGAGCGGATGCTTTCGCTTTGTCAAGATCTCCGCCGTTTCTTGCGGCGATGTATAGGGCGCGAAAGCAGTTCCCAATCACCCCACCTTGAGGTGGCTTGATGATGTACTGCTTCCTCCCTCTCACCAACACCACATAGCCCACGCAGAACATGATCAATGGAAGAAGATATGCGCTCCAAAATCCAACATGCAACTCCAACATAGTCGTTGCGATCGCAGAGATCGAGCCTACATTGATGCACATGTAGAATATCATGTAGATCCTCTGCACCGTAATCTCCGGATCGACAATGACGCGCTTTCCTCCGGGCAAGTCCTTAACGAAAGGTTTGTTGGACCGCACTTGCTCCGCGATCAACGGCGACACGTTGCTCTTGATGCCACCAGTACCCAGGCCGATGACCAGCATCGCGACAATTAGTCCAGGGTATGCGGCTCCGCCTCGAACCGCCCACGGCAAGCTGGTAACGAAGAGAATCGCGATGCCGACCATGTACACCAAACTGAACCACTTGATCGTCGCATACTTCCCAAGATATTGGTCCGCAACAACGGCGCCAAATAAAGGCGTGAGGTAGCACCAGAATTGGAAGAAGTTCGTCATCGCTGTCGCACCACTCTGCTTCAAGCCAAGAGCGCCAGGCAGGCCATTGGGGTCGTTGTATTCGTTGGCGATGTAGTTCTGGAAGGGCCCGGAGAGTCCGTAGTAGGCGAAGCGCTCACAAAGCTCAACAACGGCGACGAGAAAAGCGCCATATGGCAACGTATCCGCTACGCGAGGCAGAAATAGCAGATCCTCTGCTGTCGGTATGGAGCCAATGTGAACAGGCGCTTCAAAGGGAACGGCGTCCGCGTCTTCATTTGCGACGTCTTTGCCATGTACTGTGAGGTTTGCACTTGCGGTCTCGGTCTGCGCAACAGTCGTGTAGGCACCCCGCTCTTCACCATTCTGTCGCCAAGATGAAGCCATGTTGAATTGAGTTGTTCGATTAGGTGTTCCTTGGTTATGCTCTCTTGGTGCTTGGTGGTCCTATTCACTTGATTGGGACCCGTCACGGCGATCAAAGTCTCTTGCTGCTATATCCTGTGCGCACGCTCATGGCATGGTCGGAATGCGTATTGCGTTCATGGCGGCGCGGTGTTGCCTGAAATATGGAGACTGAGCCGTGAGTTGATGAGATTGGAGATGAAGACACGCGTTCGCGAACACGGGAAGGTGAGACGGTGCTCGTGTCCGGTCTAGGCCGGATCGGTTGCTGAATACCCCACAACACATCACAACCGTTCAAAGCCATGCCTTTCGCAATCGCACATGAACCATCATATTTAAATGCAGTTAGGACTGATAGCTATCGCGAGCTGGGCATGCTACTAGTGGGCAAATGTTGCTTCTGCCGAATACACCCGCTCAAGAAGAAAGGCCCGTAGGTACAGTGAATAGAATCGCGATCGCCCTTCGAAGCGGACTTGAAGGGTGCGCGACAGTCCAGCGAAAGCGAATCAAGGCCTTTGCATCAAACGCATCTGATCGAGTGCCGACCGCAAGTACATCCGCCCTGACTACCTCTTAGCAGATCAATCCTCCTACATACCAGTAGCCAAACCCCTTAAACTACCCTCCCCTCCTCTTCTCAAACAAGCCCCTACCTAGGCGTAGCAGGCGGCGTCATCATCCCACCTCCACCTCCACCTCCACCTCCAATCATACCACCACCCTCACCCGCCTCACATTGCGAGACATGAAAAGCCCTCAGCACGTTCTTATTCTCCGAGAACTCCTCCCACGCACTCTCATCCTCCAGTATAGCCGGCATGCGCATCCTCACGCACTCGATGATAGCCTTGCGCAGTCCACGGTCGTTCTCTGGGCATTGCTCGTGGTAGATGCATGTAGCCAGGTCGACGATCATGAGAGGATCGGTTATGAAGGGAAGGCGGTCGATGATGGCTTCGGCGGCGCGGCGCTTAATGGGTTCGAGGTTGTACTGGGTTGGGGGTTAGTATGAAGGTAGGGAAAGAGAGGTACGAGAGCAGTTACCTTGTCCGCGGCGATGAAGAGATCAAGGAGCTGGTTCATCATGAGCTCCTTCTCAATCTCCATACGAAGCGCGAAGTTGGTGAAGATGGAACCAGTGGTCGGGTTGTAGACACCGTACATCTCATCCAGGAGAGTGAAGACGACTTGTGCTGACTCTGGGAGTTCGATGGATTGCTTTGCGGTCTCGGAGAAGCCGCCGCTGCATACTGCTCTGAAGTAGTATGACTCTTTGCAAAGCTTGACGCGATGGACGCGGAATTGGCTACCACCCGCGACGACGGTGAAGTCGGACCACTCCCCCGTCTTCCGTAGGCGAGGCCACTCGGAAGCATCAGCCGGAACCGCCATCCAAGGTTGCGGAGCTCGGCTCGTGAAGCCCTGCTGTTCCATGTCGAAGTCGGGCTTGACGAATGCGACCTTCCTATCATCAACATCAGTCCCAGCCACAGCATCTAACACGAAATGACACATACTGTGGAACTTCATAGCTGTAGAAGAAATGGTTGCCAGCCGCCGTCGCAATGTCCTCTAGCACATCGAGGAAGCTGCGAGCTCGGTCTGGTGACGCAAACTCCAAATCTACCTGCAGATGCTGGAACAGGATCGATACTTTCTTGCTCTTGTCTCGCCAGGCTGCTGCGCGTGCGGTTTTGGCTTGGAAGTAGATTGGCTCGTTGGTTTCGGGGAAGCGCAGAACGGTCGCAAAGCCGGAGTGGTTGGTGCTAACGAAGCCGAATTCGGCGTTCGCGCGGTCCAGAAAGAGAAATGTAGGGCCAGTGGTCTTCTGCTCCTTGCCAATGGTGAAGGATTGGAGGAGCCAGACGACTGACGCGGAGTCCTCGGCGATGGACTTCGGGAAGGGAGGCATGTTGATGTGGAATGTTGAAGACCGTGGGAGAGATGCGGCGATATATGGGACAAAGGGTCGTTGGTGTAAGGAAGGTGTTAGTAAGGTACAAGATCAAGATAGAGAAAGTCGAGTTTGGGGCGGATTGTTTTCAGTACCAGCTTCGCGGTGATGAGGCTAGCGATCTTGTTAGCGGTGATCAGTGAGCGATGAGCGGAGATTGTAGCGCTGCCATCGCAAACAGAAGCCCAAAGCACCGCCCAATCGGCTTACTCAACCGAGCTACCATTTTTGAGTTCAGCGTGATGAAAAAAAATGAAGGAAGGTCTGCATGCCAGCGGCGCTCATTGGGAGGTGAAGGATGAAATCGATTATGATATTGCGACTCGGTGCTATCAAAGCCGTGGGCAAAGCCGAACCCTACAATCAGTTCCTTTGATCATTTAAATCCGACACTCCGTGCCAGAGGTCATGCCGTGATATGTACCGCGCCCTTGAACGCCGATGACCCAGATGTTGTACAGTAAATGCGAAAGAAGATCGTTGATATCGCGTAACGCCGCGCTTAAGATCGAGCTCACCAGGTCGTCGCGACTTGCGGGTATTCCTTCTTGCTGATCTTGAGGTCGTCGTAGACCGAGTCGTCGCCTGAAGCTTCATTAGCACACATCACATTTGCCAGCGGTTGAACAACGTACCGTGAAGATGCTCGACGCGCAGCTCATCCTCGTGTTCAAGCTTCTCGATCTCCTCTTGCGGGGTCTCCTTGTCGTGCTTCTGGTCCTTGGTGGTTGGCTCGACGCCGCTCTCCATCTTTTCGCCGATGAGCAGGATCTGGCAGTACTCATAGTCGAGGTATTTGGGCTTGACTTCGACCCAAGCCAATCCGCGGAACTCTTCGATGAACCTGGCAATGGTCAGTCATGAACCAGGATGTCATGTTGGGATCACTTACTCCTTGGGAAAGTCGGGCTTCTGAGGAAGCTGGGCGGAAGCCGGTCCGCTGCGCTCAGGGTTCTTGACGCTCATGACGAAGCTGCCCTGGTCCTTGATACCTAGGTCTTCCTGAACTTCTCCAAGCTCGGAAGGTATGGTGGTGGAGTATACGAGATGGCAAGTCCGGTCTTCAGTGCGCGTAATGGCGTACACGCCTTCCGCTACCGGTGCCACAGGCTCGGTGCGTCGGCTGCCTTGTGTCTTCGTCTCGTACTCGTCTGCACCAAAGAAGCTCTCCTTCAGCTCTTTGATGGAAGTGTTCGCCTTTTCGACAAATGCCATGAATTTATCGTTGTGCGACTTGGGGAAGACCTTCTTGGGCAGCGCAAACAGTCGGATGTTGTTATCATCGGCGAGGGCACCGTCGCCCAGCTTGGCTCCGGATGGCATTGGTCGGAGGACGAAGAAGGTACGTTGAAGGTCGCCAACGCTCTCGGATTCCTCGACGCCGACGCGGTTGCGGGTGAAGAAGTAAATGACGCCCTTCTCGAGGATGTTGGACGGCATTTGCTTTGCGCGCTGGGAGGACTCCTCGATCGCGCCTTCACCGTCTGCGCCAGTCTCCTTTGTCGCGTTGTCCGATTTGTCTTCGTTCTTCTCTGTCTGTGTAGTCTCTTCAGCCTTGGGGGCGGCGCCGGTGTTTTGTTCCGCCTGGTCGTCGGTAGTCTCCATATCGGTTGATGCAGGCTTGTCATCATCGCCATTGGCCAATGCCGTCGCATCGCTCGCATCGACGAGGTCTTCCGCGGCCTTCTTCTCGGCCTCCTCTACATCTCTGGAGTCTTGACCCCCATCCGAGGCGTCCTTCATCTCGCTGTCAGACTCCTTGCTGGTGTCCATTGTCTCCTCGATAGTAGCTTGCTTCTTGGACGCCTTGCGGTCGCGCTTGGGAGACGGCTCGACTTCGGGCTTGCGTTTGGTGCCGGCTGCGACATCGTTACCCTTTGCTGGGCTGGAACCACCGTCGGTGTTGCGTGCAGAGGAGCGTGTTCCTGCCATTGTGGATGCAGTGAGGTCAATTGAGTGAATTGGTGTAGATTATTGAAGATATGAGTGAAAGAATGAGAGAAGGATGGGAGACAAAGCAAAGGAGTAATGAAGGGGGCGGATGTTTGCGCGCGCTGGTGGTTTGTGGCAGGCGCGTCGCGTGAAATGGTGACGTCAATGGCAGTCATTAGCACATCGACGCGTCAGGAAGGCACGTGCAGCGTTGGACCATCAGATGGAAGCCGCGAGCGGTCATGAGCGAGGATTTGAGAGCGCGTGAGATAGCGTCGCGCATTCACGCGCTTGATGTAGCAAACCTATCGAAGCTATACAATGCCTTCGTATCGTACATCCTCTCATCGAGCGCACCCCGGTCCACGTAGACGAAGCCACAAACGACATTGCTTATTCGTACTTCTCGAGAAAGGCGTGAATGCCGTCGGCGATGCCCTCCGGACTTGGCTTCTCAGCGCATACATCAGGAGTGAAGCCAAACTCTTGCTTCAGATAATCGCGCGTGGTCGGACCGATAGTGCATATCAGGATGTCTCTCTGACCAGCAATAGCTTTGGCTCTCCCAGTCTCCATTTCCAAAAGCCCAAGGCTCTCAAGCATCGCTTGACATCCGCTTGGAGAGAATACAACGACCCACTGCCGTTTTGAGCCCTGATCCGCGTTTCTGCGCCAGATGGTCGAAAAGTCCTCCTTGAAAGACTGCATCTCTCCAGTCTCATATATAACCAATTCATCTACTCGCGCCCTCTCTTTTGGATCCAGCTCTTCTGACTGCAGGGTCTTTGGTATTATATCCCTCCTCTTGTCGCCGACCATGAACAGTACGGGTGGATTCGCAACACCTGGATGAAGGGCATTGTAATGCCGCAAGATGAAGCCAGCGAGAGCTTCGCCGTTGCCGGTTTCCTCTCCCAGGATTGGACACTTAAGACCCAGTGATCGCAGTCCGCGAGCGGTAGCTGGGCCTACTACGTACAGCGGCAGACTCTCTGGCAGCAGGTCGTCGATGTCGAGGGCGCCTTCTCTACGGATTTCCTCGACAACCTCGCTGAAGGCTTCGACTGCACGCTGCGAGGTGAAAATCAGCGCGCCATATGTCGCGAGACCCTGCTGCGCTTGTGGCACGAAGCCGCGATTGGTGACATGTTGGCGCACCTCACGCAGGGCATCTTGCTTGAACCTGTGCTCCAGGACGGGCACGAAGACGGGCGCATAGCTGCCGTTGTCGAGTTCTAGGAAAAGCTCTTCATACGTGTCTTTGGGCACTGACTTGGTCTTGAGTAGCAGAATGGGGATGCTGCCCCGCGATTGTTCCGCCATAGCCGTGGTTTGGTGTGTGCGTCTGGTGTTCGAGGCCCCGAGTGAAGGGTCAAGACTGCGGGCGGCACACTAGCCCGCCCGCTAAACATCGGGAAAAGTTGCCAGCATCCGTGGTTCACTCGAGACCCTCGAATTTAATAGTTGTCCTCCCACCGCCTGCACGCCTCGCCTGCACATTCACGACTCGGCGGTCTACCCAGCTCTTGCAGACCTCTCTCCCCCGCTGCAACGCCCAGTCAGCCCTCAACCCAATTGACTGCACAGCAAACATGGCCGACGTCGCAACTCCACCCGCCGCCCAGGCCTCGACCAACGGCGCTGCTGCCCCTCCGGCCAAGCAGCAGGTTGTCAAGCCCGACAAGCCCGACGAGGACAAGTACAAGGAGGAGCTCGCCAAGCTGGAGAAGGAGCACGCCGCTGCCCAGGAGAAGCTGGTGAGTCCATGTCCCCGTGTGGTGCGCGCAGTCGCACGGCCACGAGCTGACGGGTGGCTGCATCGCACACCACCACTCAATCCGGGAAAATTACTAACGACGGCCAGAACGCGTGCAAGGCCAAGCTCGACCTCGCCAAGCCCAATAACAAGGACTCGCCCAACGCGAAGCGCCAGCAGGAGCTCAAGACGGAGCTCAACGCCATCCGCTCCACCCAGCAGGGCAACAAGTCCGGCCGCAACTCCATCTTCGAGAAGATCAAGAAGCTCGACGAGCAGCTTAAGCAGCAGCTCAACGAGCTCAAGACGGCCAAGGGCAAGTCCAACTACAAGTCGGCCGAGGATGTGGACCAGGAGATTGCCCGTCTGCAGAAGCAGGTCGACGGCGGCATGATGAAGCTCGTCGACGAGAAGAAGGCCCTGGCCGAGATCAGCGCCCTCAACAAGGCCAAGAAGAACTTCTCCGGCTTCGACTCCCAGCAGAAGAAGATCGACGACATCAAGGCCCAGATTGCCGAGCAGAAGAAGCTGCTCGACGACCCGGAGAACAAGGCCCTCTCCGAGAAGTACACCAAGCTCCAGACCGAGCTCGACGGACTCAAGGCTGAGCAAGACGAGGCCTTCAAGAACCTGAGGTCGCTCCGCGAGGAGACCGACAAGGCGCGCGCAGTGCAGCAGGAGAAGTACCAGGCCCGCAAGGAGCTCAAGGACAACTACTTCCAGCAACTCCGCGCATTCAAGAACTACGAGTTCGAGGCGCGCAAGATCCGCAACGAGAAGAGGCGCCTCGAGCAGCTCCAGTACGTCGCCGGCAAGCGCAAGGAGACTGCCTCCAAGCGACTCGAGGAAGCCAGCGCACCTGCCTACGGCGACGAGATCATTGCCTGCGAGGGCTTGATCCGCCACTTCGACCCCTCCGCACTCCCTGCGAAGGAGACCACCGCCGCCAGCAAGTTCGCCGCTTCCGCCCAGCGCACCGTCGACGACTCGGGCCTCAAGGGTACCCGCATATCGAAGAAGGACACCGAGGAGGAGAGCTACATGGCTGGTACTGGTGGCAAGAAGGGAAAGAAGGGCAAGAAGGGCGGCGCTGCTGCCAGCAAGTTCAACTTGAACATTGGCATCATCGAGGAGCTCGCCAAGGTCGGCGTCGACCCCCCATCAAGCCAGGACGAAGTCCCCGCCACCGTCGAGAAGCTCCAGGCCAAGCTTGCCCACTGGAAAGAGGACCAGGACCGCAAGACCAAGGAGGTGAGTCATTCTACATACCACTGCGGGGATGCTGCTAACAAGTCTTCAGAACATCGCCAAGGCGCAGAAGGAGATTGACAAGCTTGAGGCTGAAGAGGCCGCAGAGGACGCCGCCAACGGCAGCACCGACGCCGCCCGCAAGCCCGCCCAGAAGAACCAAGCCGTCAACGGCGACGCTTCCGCCGAGGCTGAGCTTGCACAGGAGAAGGACGCCGCAGCGGACGCTGCTGACGACCTCGAGAAGGCCACGATCGAGGACAAGGAGACTGCCGCCGACGCATAGAGTGCGCAGTGTCAGACATTGTCACTAGGGGTGTTAGCCTCTTGAAATTTGGGTCATATTTCCGGGACATTGGCATGGTGTAGGATCTAGCCCACATCTTCATTTCTAGCTTGGGATCTGGAATCGGTACATTGTCCGCTATTGTTACGAGATACCAGCATGGCATGGGACGGGGTCACGGAGTGGAGTACGATGTGTCTCATTTAGACGCGCAGCAGACCTAAAAGGTTAATATCACCATCTCATCTTCATGCGTCGATCAAAGTGACAGGAACGACTAAGCATCTAGAACTTGGTCATTAGCCCAAAGAAGCATGACATGACGCAAGACCCTGAACTACAGACTAGACCATCCGCAACAGGAGCCGGTGCCGGTGACAGCCAAAAGGAGTTACCCCACATACATAGCGGGGTGGATGTGGTTCCCAAACGCGTGGTGGTGGTACTGATGACATCATTGGCAAAGTCCTACAAAGTCGCGCGACATTCTCAGCTCCCCTCCCACACACTACCTGCCTACCGATAACTACCCCTCCAAAGGTATGCTTTCCTCTCGTTTCCTTTCTCAGTGCATCGCAAGGACAGCGCGAAGGTCTCCTCGAACATTGTGCCTGCAGAAGCTGACGCCTTCTCCCCAGCTACCAAACAACCACGCCGCTCAACGCGTATTCTCTACAACCACCATCACCATGTCTGGCTTCAGCAACACCGACACCGGCTCCAAGATGGCCGACCCTTACACCCAGAAGAACCTCGAGGAGCCCTCTCTCAAGGAGAAGTGCGAGGACCTGCTTAACTTCGTCGACAAGACCAAGTTCTGCCTGTTGACCACACAGGCCGCAGACAGCGACCTCTTGGCCTCAAGAGCCATGGCTGTAGCTGCAAAGGTACAGCACACCCAATTGACTACTCAAGACAGTGCTGACAAACAACAGGAGGGCCACGGCTTCGACCTCCTCTTCCACACCAACACCGAGTCCGGCAAGACGGACGACCTCAAGGAGCACAAGTCCGTCAACGTCGGCTTCATCAACAACTCAGGCGAGTGGGCCTCCATCTCCGGCCACGCCTCCATCGAGACAGACCGTGACGTCGTCCGCAAGCACTACTCTCCCGCGCTCAAGGCGTGGATTGGCGATCTCGGTGACGGCAAGCACGACGGTGGCCCAGAGGACCCGCGCATTGGCATCATCCGCGTCAAGGTCAGCACCGCACAGTACGCTGTGTCGAAGCGGACGCAGATTGGCGGGCTTGTTGAGCTGGCGAAGGGGATTGCGACGGGTGAGGCGCCGAATGTTAATAAGCTGAGGCATCTTGACGAGGCCGAGATCCAGCAGTATAGGAGCCAGTAGATACATCTCTCCCTTATGATATTCCAAGAAAGGGGAAGAGATAGAACCATGATGAAGAAGAGACAAATGAATAATAATCATACATCCTACCACGATATCGTTGTTGCATCGTGAACTTGTTGAATCCGGGGATGACGTCACACAAGCGCGTTCCACCCTTGTCCTTCCGCGTCAAACCTCGGCGCCTTGCACAACCCAAAGCATTCACCCACCAAACACCCGTCGCATCCCCCATAACCTCCCTATACACATATACATATACAATGGAAGACCCAGGTACGTCGCCCCCTTCTCTCCAACCCTCCCTCCCCTCTCCCTCATCCCTCCACCGCGCATCCCGCTAACCAACCCGTCCCATCGCATCACAGTCAAAGAAATACCCGCCATCATCCACCTCCTCACGCAATCGCCCCCCTCCCTCCAACGCGCAACCATCGACAAATACTTCACACCCGACGCCGCCTTCTCGCATCCTTTTTGCCGCACATGGAGCCGACCGAATTCTAGGTGGTTGGTTGAGCGGACGTATCGCTGGTATAAGATTATGAGTCCGAGGATTGATTGTACGGTGGGGAGTGTCGGTACGTAGTAACCCAGGGGAGGGCGGAGGGGGGGAGATGGGGAGGTGATGGATGTCTCGCTCGATCTTTGCGCGTGCGAAGAAGAGACTTGACATCTCATCGCGCCCACGACCACCCTACCGATGTGCCAGGAAGTGAAGGAAAGAGTGCAAGGGCTAATCAAGAATGACAGCGTTCGACGAAACGAACCTTATCCTATACGCAACCATCTTCCAAATCTTCCGTATTTGGTTTATACCCTTCTACTACGCGCCCGTCCGCCTCACTACCGTCCTCCACCTGCGCAAATCCCCCATCACCACCACCACCACCACCTCCTCCTCCCACACATCAACCACAACTAAATACCACATCTCCAAACAAGAAGACCTATACCAAGTCGACCAATGGATACGTTTCATCGCGCCCGGCGCGTGGATGTTGATCTGGCTCTGGCAGGCTTGGGCCACGGTGTTTTGCGTCGCGGGCACTGTGCTGCTTTGGCCGGTAACGTGGATGGAGGAGAATTGGGGGTGGGGTGAGGGTGTGGGTATGGAGAGTGGGACGGGGCTTGTCAAGGGGTTTCGGATTACGGGGAAGGGGGGGAAGGAGGGGGAGGTTAGGGTTGATGGGTTGGGGGAGGAGGAGGTGTTGGAGAAGACGGAACTGAGGGGGAGGATTGTGGGGTGAGATGGATGGGGGATGAAGGGAGGGGAGGGGATGAAGGGAGGGGATGAAGGGAGGGGAGGTGTGTGGTATGCATGGTTCAAGGGTTGCTTGGTGGATAATGACTTGGGTCGTTGGGATGGAATATAACGCTAGCACGGGAATTGAGATGAGGCCATATAGATTTGGCGGTGCGTTGTTTCGACGACGAATAGGCAACCATATCTATTCCATTACTGCTGTTCCTGTGTGTAATATCGGACATTACTATCTCCACATAGAGGCAAGAGAGGTTTTGGATCCCAAGCTGACCCCTCTGTCACTGGGTCCTGGCTCTCAATTGATAGGGCTCAAGTCCATCGAGAGCGACAGGAACGTGCTTAGATGTAAAACTAAAATGCTGGCGATGGAGGAAACGTGCAGGCGAAATGACGATTGTCGCGTCATGATAGTCCGCAGAAGGCGCTAAACGCACCACGTGAACACCCGTTTTCCTCCACGCGTCGCGTCGCCCAACCCACCTCCACCAAACTACAATGCCCAACACCAACGAACCACGAGATTTCCACCACCCATACACGCCCTACGACATCCAAAATGAGTTCATGGGCGCTGTCTACACGTGTCTGGAAGAAGGCAAAGTCGGCATCTTCGAATCGCCGACCGGAACCGGTAAATCGCTGAGCTTGATATGTGGCTCCTTGACTTGGCTACGCGATCATAAGCGACGGACGTTCGAAGAAGGCTTCACGGTAGATGCGGCGAACGCAGCGAATAGTGAGGAGCCTTCTTGGATTGTTGAACACGCACAGAAGCAGCGGAAGCAGGAGGCGCTGAGGCGTAAACAGGATCTGAATGAGCGTATTGCTAGGGTTAAAGCGAAAGAGAAGAGGGCGAAGGAACGGTATGAGAGCGGTGAGCCTAGGTATAAGAGACAGAAGACTGCGGCAGGGGATATCGAGAACGACGACGAAGCTCAGTTCGCTTTGGATGATTACGAAAGCGATGAGGAGACTCACAAACGAGCAAGAGCCGGCGCGTTTGACGAGTCTGGACTGTCGGCAGAGACCCAGGCTTTGATGGCATCACTCGGCTACAACGCCGATGCATCGAAAGATGACGACGGAGAGGCGCCTGATGAAACGAAGATATTCTTCTGCTCTCGAACACACTCTCAGTTGACGCAGTTCTCGAGCGAGCTGGGGCGCGTAAAGATGCCGCCCGCCATCGCTCTGGACCCGGATGAGAGCAGCGGTGACATAGACACGCTTGTAGAAGACGTGAAGCACCTTACTCTTGGATCAAGGAAGAATCTCTGCATCAACAGTAAAGTCAACAAGCTCGGTAGCGCTACGGCCATCAACGAACGATGTCTGGAGCTACAGCAAAACAGCAAGACTGAAAGCCGGTGTCCGCATATGCCGACCAAGGAGAGCGAGCCGTTGGTCAATGACTTCCGTGACCATGCGCTTGCGAAGATTAGAGATATCGAGGACTTGGGGGTGTTGGGTAAGAAGCTGGGTGTATGTCCATACTATGCTTCTAGACCTGCTACCAAGTACTGCGAGGCAAGTCGACTATTTCTTCCCGCGGTGTCTTGATGTGCTAACAGGGTTAGATCGTAACGCTACCCTATCCACTACTCCTCCAGCGCACAGCTCGCGAAGCACTTGGCCTCTCCCTCAAAGACCACATCGTCATCATCGACGAAGCGCACAACTTGATGGATGCCATTGCAGGCATCTACTCCGTATCCGTGACCCTCGATCAAGTACAACAAGCGCGTGCCCAACTCACAGCCTACCTCCAGAAGTTCCGGAACAAGCTCAAAGGGAAGAATCGCGTTTATGTTGCCCAGACAGTCCGCATCTTGGACTCTATCATCGCGTATCTGCAGTCCATCGATGCCAACGCGAAAGCGGCAGACGGCTTGGCAGACATGGCTGCGATCATGTCTGGGAAAGGCGTTGATCAAATCAATATCTACAAACTCAACACGTATCTCCAAGAAAGCAGACTGGCGCGTAAAGTAGACGGATACACCGTCTTCGCTGAGCAAGCGGAGAATGGAAGCGCGCAGAAACCAGTCGCGAAGCCGGCAAAAAGCGGGCCACGACATACTGTACCAGTCCTGATGCACGTACAAGCCTTCCTCCTGTCCTTGATGAACCCATCCAGCGAAGGCCGCTTCTTCTACGCGAAGGAAGAAGCCTCAGGCACAACGTTACGATACATGCTCCTGGACCCAACCTACCACTTCAAAGACATCGTCGAAGAAGCAAGGGCCGTCGTACTAGCCGGCGGCACCATGGCACCAATGAGCGACTACGAACAGCATCTACTCTCATACCTGGATCCCTCCAAGATCATGACACTATCCTGCGGCCACGTCATTCCGCCCTCGAACCTCCTCGCTGCACCCATCGTAAGAGCAGCAAGCGGCGCTGAATTCGACTTCACCTTCGAGAACCGCAACAAAGAGAATACGATGATCGATCTCGGCAACGCCATCTTAACATTCGCGCAGCACATCCCCGATGGCGTGGTCGTCTTCTTCCCCAGCTACTCCTTCCTCGACGCGTGCATCGTCGCGTGGAAGCGCATCAAGCCCGCGCCTTCAACATCCACATCCACTTTCTGGGACAGCTTCACCCAAACAAAGCCCGTTTTCCTCGAGCAGCGCAGCAAGCAACAGCCATCTACCTCTACCCACCCTCCACCATCCAAAGAAGCAACCGCAGACTCCGTCCTCACAGCCTACAGCGCAGCAATCGCATCAGGAAAAGGCCGCGGCGCCCTCCTCTTCGCCGTAATCGGCGGCACACTCTCCGAAGGCATCAATTTTAGCGACGCACTTGGCCGCGGCGTCGTTGTTGTCGGTCTCCCGTTTCCTAATCCACACTCTGCGGAATGGAAGGCGAAGATGCAGTATATCTCCGCGAAACAGACGAAGAGCGGCGGCGGTGGTGGTGATGGCAAGGCTGCTGCGCGCGAGTTCTACGAGAACGTCTGTATGCGCGCGGTTAATCAGTGTGTGGGTAGGGCGATTCGTCATAAAGCTGATTATGCGGCGATACTGATGTTGGATAGACGGTATGGGAGTAAGCGCATTCAAGACAAGTTGCCGAAGTGGATTAGGGGGAGTTTGACGGGCGGGTTGGGGGTGCGGGATGTTGGGGGGAGGTTGGATGGGTTCTTCAAGGGTAAGGGTTGAGGGGGTATGCAACGCGACGTTGGCGGATTGATGCGACGATACGTTTTCATCGCACGCGTGCTTTGGTATCTTCGAGGTTTCGTGGCGTAGCGGTGTAGGACAGCCTTGCGGCGGTCAGAGTAGAGCTTGTACGAGTATACGCCGTTGCTTACGCTAAGGATATAGTGTACATCATTGATATACCCCGAGTGTCTACATCGACTTCTACACCGTGCGTATAACATGCCTTCTCGACCACCATACATACGATACGAAGAAGCGGTCTGAAATGAATCCGAGTTCTCTCCTGCCACGGCATAAGAGGAAGGAGTTTGGAAGAGTTGGAAGCCGGCCTCACCGGGTGTAATGTAAGCCCGGAGATGCCCCCGGATTCTAGTTCGCCCAAGTTCGTACTCGCACAGGTAATGCTTACACGTCGTCTCCTTGAGGGGTACAATATAAACTCTTGGAATGAGGCCCTACTCTGTCCTCTCATTGAGTTCATTGGCGGATAGTTGGTCGTGCATTGTCGCGGTAGTGTTGTGTTCGTCCGGTGAGACGGAAGTACACCGTATAGAGAC